CGCCCCCGTGTCCAGCCGGGGGGGGCGGAGTCAATGGCAGGAGCCCACCTGAGGTGGGCACCCCGTGGCTGAAGGCTGCCCAGCCGTGCCAGCAAGGCAGCCCTGGGAGTCAGGAGCCACTGGCACTGCTGGAGCCCAAACAAAGCGTCCTGAGGAGAACAAAACAAAATGTCTTTAAAGGCCGGGGAGGGAGAGGCTGTCAGACCCTCCCTGCTCCCCTGTGGCCCCATGGGGACCCCTTTGCCTGGCCACACAGGGACTGATCCAGCCCCTGGAACTGCCCTGTAACCCAGTGCCCCGTTGGGCATCTGCCACCACGGCTTCTGCAGGGTTTGGGAGGGGTGGGGAGGCACTGACTGCTCTCCTGCCTGCGATTTTGGAGTAAGCATGCAGAGCTTCCCTGGGGCATCCACAAAATGCAGAGCCTGCAAAAGCAGGACACGGCACCCTCGTTACCCCAGGACTGAGGGGAGGGCACAGGCCCTACCTAGCTCACAGGTGGGGAAACTGAGGCATGGCTGCACATTGCCCAGCTGCTGCCTCCATCGCCGCTGTCCCTCCCCAGGCCGGGCACATCGGGCACCCCAAGCCCCACCACAAACCCACCCAGTCCTGCGGCTGCACACAGACCCCTGGGCAGGGGCTGCGCCGCAGGACCCCAGCCGGGCTGGGGGCTGTGGCAGCAGGATCTGCACCTGCAGGCAGGGATGAGAGGACAGGCAGGGACAGCACTTTACCAGGTGACTGGCAGGGCCCTGGAGGCAGGCCAAGGAGATTAGCTCCCTTCCCCAGTGACCCAGGCAGCTCAGCAGCCAGCACCTTTCCTGCTGCAGCTCCTTCTGAGGCTCTTGCAGCTGGTGTGGCGCAGGGATGCTCCAGGAGTAGGGATGCTCTGGGAGCGGGGATGCTCTCACAGGGATCTGCCTTCCTCCCACAGCTCCCGCACCAGCACCCCTGTGCCTGGGTGTCCTCTCAGCCCCGCAAACAGGGGAGCCCCAGGCAGAGGGCTGCGAGTCAGGGCGGCCAGTGTGTGCCAGACCCCCTGGTCCCCAACCCATCCCCACCTCTCCACACACTCTGGCCCCAGCATGGACTGGTCAGATATTTCCGAGGAGAAAGTTAAAGATTGACTGGGAGCAGGTGGGCACTCGCACGCCTGGCTCCCTGCTGCAGGTGCCAGGCTCAGCTCTCGCCCCAGTGCGATGCCAGGCAGCACGGAGCCACGTCAAGCGCCCCACACATCCCCATGACTGACCCCTAATCGTGTCCAGATACGTCCCCGTTCCCAGCCAAGGGCTTCTCCTGGAGAAACCTGCCTTCCCATCCCACCGGCTGCCTTGACCCCTCCACACTGCCCACCATGGGCAGGATGGGCGCTGGGCTCCCCACTGCAGGCACAGCCAGCAGGGCCACGCTAGGACACGCAAGTGGAGGAGCCACAAGAATGCTGGAAGCGCCTGCAGGGCACGTCGCTCCCCTGGCTCTCGGCTTCCCAGGGAAGTCCTGGCTCCAGGCCCTCTGGCTGGAGCATGCAGCTATTTCGGGAAGCCCCCTGAGAAGGGAAGGGCCCAGCAATTGTGTCAGCCCCAGTGTTCAGCTCCCATCTATCAGGAAAAAGGGAAGAGCCAAGCCCAGCCTAGGCTCACCTGCCAGGCGCAGCGCAGCAGCCCAGCACTGGAAGCCAAGCTCGGGGCTCCCAAACCACTCACTGCACAGCAAAGCCACCACAAGCCCTCCAAGGAGGACACGCGTCAGGCACGTCCCGCATCCACCCAGGGCACCGCAGCCCTCCCTGGCACAGGTGAGCACAGGGCAGCGCACAGCACCCCACAATGCACTGCTTGCAAGGACAGAGGGTTGGGCACCGCACCGCTGCCTGGAAACACCCAGCTCTGCCCACACACCATCCTACCAGCCCAGTCTGGGAGACCCTGCTGGGTGGAGGCAGAGGGGAAGCAGATCCACACCATGCTCTCTGGGGGCACCCGACACGGAGGGGTACCCACACCCTTTACTGAGAGCCGGCAGAGGAGCTGCCTGACTGGGGCTTTCCCACCTTTGCTGCCCACTCAGAGAGCTGGGGCAGGTGATAAGGCCAGGCAGAGCGCCTGAGATGGGCGATAGCATCTCCAGGCACGGCGAGACACCACCTGGGGAGCCTCACAGGCAGCAGGCTCAGGGCGAGCAGTGGCCCAGCGTCTGCCTCACCGGCATCATGCTGGGGGAGCACCAGGGTGGCACAACCCCAGCCAGGGGTCCCAGGGGGCACCAAGCCTTACAGGAGCCCCAGCGTCCTGCTCCCTGCACCGGGTGCTGCGGGTCCTCACAGCAGGTGCCCACGCCAGCCCGCTCCCCGCGCCCCGGCACTTACCATCAGCCCCTCGCTGCACTTATCAGCCATCCCTGGAGGCTGGAGCGTGGTGCCAGCTGCCCGCTGCGGGGTTCCTCGCCTGCCCGCTGCTCTCCGTTGCGCTGGCTGCAGCACCAACACCGGTGCGCTTCAATCCACTGTCAGAGCAAGCTGGACAGAGGGGAGAGACACCAAGAGAGACGTGACTAGTGAGGTGGGCATGTCCCCGCCCCGGGCCTCCCCCTCCCTCCAGAAACCGGTGGGCTGTGCCAGGCAGGTCGCTCGCAGAGGATGCAGGGCCCGGGACTGGATGGACTGGTGGTGGGATCTCTTCCTGCTGGCTCCCACCCCCTCCGACACCTCCAAACCCCCTAGCACCCACACGAGTGGAGGCTCCCAGATGTTTCCCCAGAAGCAGTTAAAGATTTACCCCGTGTGGACAGACGACCTTGTGGGCAGCTAGCTGCTGGCCTCCCGGCGGGTGGGCGTCAGGGGCCACAGGCAGGAGCAGGGGCCCTGCGAGCTCTCCCCCAGTGAGAGCTGGAGCCGAACTGGCTGCAGCACACGGCAGCGCCAGGACTGGGCGCTGAGCAGGGCCAGCTCAGGGCTCAGCTGCCGTGCAGGACACAGATGGGAAACGATTGCCTTCTGCCCCGGTGCATTGCGTGCACGTGCCGCGCAGGGGGGCTGAGCCACTGGGCTCTGCCAAGCGCCAGGTGCTGCCGGACAGGGCACGGGTGCAGGCAGCTGCCTCACCTGCCCTTACCTGGGGCTGCTGGAAGCCCCAGGGGAGCACCGGGGCCTGACCTCACTGAGAGAAACAAGACAGCAGGTCTTGCAAAACACCCGTTGTTCATCTGTGTGACAGCACCGGTGTTTGCAGATCCCACACCAGCACTCAGTACCCTTGCTGGCTGCGGAAGGACCTCCAACCCCCAC